TTTCAATAGAGTATTGTATTACCAAGGGAAAAAAAATTAGTTAACACTGAGAATCAGTCACAGAAAGAATGTTCTTCTAAGTAAAACTTTTAAACTCTGAAGGAGGGCACATCACCCCGGGTGGGTCTCTAGGCCCAATCTCTGAGGGAAGCCATATTTGCTTATGCACCACACTGTCAAAGGTATGATGCTGAATTTGCGTACTGAAAGTGTCTTGCTCCCAAGTAAATTTGATTATGAGTTTTAACAATAATGAATTTTGTCAATTTTGAGTGCCTGATATTCAGAGAGCTATTTTTAATTGATACCTGCCAAATACAACCATGTGAAAAAAAAAAAAAAAGCCCAAGTGTGATTCTAAGAATGGGGTGCCTGCCCCACTATGCCTTTTATAGACATTTTCCTGGAAATTAGAAGTATCTGTCTACATGTCCAAGAAAAGACATTCCATTGAAAAGAGACAATTTGGTACCACTCTGATAATAAATTCTTTCTTAAGTTTGGCTCAGGTCAGAATACACATCAGCTGTAAGAACAATGAAACATGAAAACCAATGTGAAAATGTTCAAAAAGAGTGAAATCAATGATCTATGCTGAAAAATATCCAAGAATTTCATGTTTTGATTATTATTACATGAGAGGCAACCCTTTCAGGCTAGTTCACGTAAGATCAAAAGTGGCCGATGACAGTTATGAAATATGTTTTAGAAAATGAGCATTTTTTTATTTTAAAATAATTACTGAAATAATAAGTACATAAAGATTTCCATTTCCTCCCATAGTTGCTTAGGCTTAAGAATCTTCACCCAACATGGCATATGTGTGAAATGCCAGGGTAGCCACTTTCCTTTCCAAGAATTCCCTAACACCATGCCAAGATCTGGAAGCAGAGCTCTCTGGACACGACTGTGTATTAGAGCATAGCACTGAGGTCCTATTTTTGGAGACTAAACCATAAATGATAAAGGTTCATGGTTCAGAGAGAAACTTGCACAGGTATATTTAGAACAAATATAACTATATCCTATAACACACTTTATTACAAACTGATAACTAAGGGAAAAACATTAGTAAGGAGATGCCACTTCCTAAACAGTACAATACGAGGCACCCAACACCCTCTAGTGCTGTTGTATAGCTTCAGTATTAGAACAGGAGTACACACGTGATTCAGCCCAACTTTTCATAGACTGTTAACCACCATTTCTACTAATTGATATTGGTGTCTGTATATGCAGGGAAGGTAGGAAGGTAAGGAAAGAAAGTCTGAGTTGATATTTTTTGGAAACATTGAGGGGAAGAGGAACTTTCAAGTTCACTCAACAAACTGAGTACTTTAAAATGCTTCTAGGTAGAACTCTTGCTTGAAATTAACTGCTAATACTAACTTACAATCAGATGCCAATTTGTACATGATATGCCAAAGTTCATAAAATAGTCTTGAACAATTTCAACAATAACTGAGGTCAACTACTTCATTCCCATCACTGTGGCTTCCAAATTAATATATTGTCTGACGTAGAAAATAGGGATAAAGAGTCTAATTTTTATTGAGCCACTTTTGTTTGCTTAGACAATCTAGCTGTGGTATCTTATCTAATTCTTAAAAGACAGCATTCTGGGTAAGAATTAATATTCCCACTTGAGAGGTAAGGAGGTTGCAGCTCCTTGGGAGAGTAATAACTCTACACAGGGTCACTTAACTGACAGAGTTTGGATTAAGCTCACTTCAGAATGCCCAAGTCCATGCCTCTTTCTACCACACTGCTCTGTCAACACAAGTTCCCTCTAGACTATGTTCATGCAGTGTGTGATGCTTAGGAAATCATCTCAGAAACCGTAGAACATTTCTAATGCATTATCATTCTGTTATATATATTAACCCACCAAAGCTTAAAAATGCCTTTCCAAAGTCATAAACTGACTAAGCCATTTTTTTCTAACAAACAAAGAGTCTGCTAATTATGAACTTAAAGACAAGGTAGCTATCTCAGGTCTTGGAAGATACCAGTACTCCAACTATACCCTTGGCTTCACCTAGACCAAAGACCACTCATGCAACATGAAAACTAGAGAGGATCCAGCTCACTTTCAAATAGTAATCTGTGATCATGTTAATTAATTGTTGTTTTCTCTTCTTTGCCTGCTTCCAGAAAGAATTTGAGGTAGTTTGCTGAGAAGAAGGGTATAACTGAAAATATAAATGACAGGCTATGGAATGGAAGGAGGGATAATAAATCTACTTTAAAACTTGAGTTAACATAGATTTTTTATCTGGTGGGATCTGACACGATCTTAGATTAATTTACTTTGGTGGACACAGAGATAGTATAAAGCTAAGAGGCTAAGAAGGTTTATTTAAAATGTTTGGCAAACCTATACTTTTCAAAACTTCAAAGATAAACACTAGGGGAAATGAGCCAACTTTTCACATCAGCAAGATGGAATTAATAAGGTTTTACTATAATAAATAAGTTGTTTATGGAATTAGTCTGTCTCATTCTCTGTAGACTTTATTAAAATGTCAGGCATTTTAGTATACAGAAGGGAACTTAAAGCACTGCTTACCTTTTAAAAAGCAGAAGCCTAGTTATTAATGTACAAGGCTTTATTTATCTAACATTGCTGAGCATTAAGGAATTCTATGCAAATAAAATTTCCATCATAACTGATTCACTTGGATAAGAGGGCAAATTAAAAATGATGTTTTACCACAGACCTTTTTTCAAATAAATCATGCTTTGGTATTACACAGAAATAGTTTAATCTTTTCTTGATGAACCAGGGTCACTAATACATCAAGTAAAGGATACCTGGCTTGCAGTTAGTCAGGCCTGTTGAAATTTATTTTTTTTCCTGGTATTATAAACTAGCACCATTGTGTTCCCTGGGCATCATTAAATAAAGCCTGAGGAAGTCCTTCCTTTGTTTTGTGGACCAAAGGATAAAAAAGAATGTTGTGAAGTAGTGGTTTGCTTTTTTATGTGCAAAAGTGAGATGGATCCTGAAAAGACTAGAGGTTGTTAAAAATGCTGAGTGCCCGAGAGCTTTTAAGGCTGCTATATCTTGCTTTTTGATGATAAATATTTCATGTGCTATCACTAATATTTTATTACATGTTTTCAGTTTTTCATCTTAAAATGTGTGCTTTAAATTAGGTTTTCTGAATTACTAAAATGCTTTTAATGTATCTTGATACCAAGGTTTTAACCTGAGAATGCAAAATTACAATGTTAGTCAATGGGAGGAGGAATATTTGAATAATTGAATTTTCAAAAACAATGTCATCCTCTTCTTAAGAATTTATTGCCTAAAATAAAGAAGAAGAATCTGGATTTCCAGAAAGAGTTACTATTTCTTTATAGTGAATACAAACTAGTTGCTTATTTAGGTGAGGCAAAATAACTTCTTGTACTCTTAAAACATGATTTTTTTAAAAAGAAATTTTAACATCAGTGAATAACTCATCCTCAGGATTTTAGAACAGATTAATCAAAAAAATGACTTTGGATCATTGTTCAATGTGAAATGTATTAAAAATACATGCCTTTGTTCCATCCAGGGCAAAAAAAAAAAAAAAAAGATTTTTAGACAAGGCACTTAGGAAAGGAAGGATGTTTTCTGGGAAGGAGGGCCATAATCTCTTTTCTAGTTCAGCTTCTTATAAAATGGCACATGAAGAGGCTTGGTTCATTTGCACAGAAATGGAAAAACAGTTCATTGACTACATCTTGTATTTGTAACAGTTCCATTTATATCATAAAAGTCTATTTTTTGCTGTTTCTAATTATTTCTTAAATAAACTGTCAAAAATATTTGGGTTTATCAACCCAAGGAATGCTTGTCTGGTCTCAGAAAGCACAGAGAATAAAATGTTTTGAGAATAGGAGTATGGAATTCATTTTCTTATCAAACCTAGAAACATTATTCCCAGAGTGTATCTTGACAAGTATATATTAGGCACTACAAGTAAGGGTTTAAGGACCTCCTGGTTCTTTGGAGAAAGACAATCCTTTATTGTGCTGGCAGAAATGCTTTTGGTTTCCTGCCATTAAACCTAAGTTCCAGTGAAAGTTTGGGCAGAATTAAAATAGCTTCATGTAATATACTCTTTAACAGAATAATATATACCTGTAAGAGTAATTTTTATTACCTAAGAAGATAAAAAATTATGTTTTTTCATCATATGAGGAGAATGGGTATAATTATTTCCTTCTGGTCAAATATAAATTTTTCTGCTTTAAACATTCCACATATTTCTTGCCTAGTGGGCCAATTTTACCATTTGTAAAAGGGGAAAAGACCAGAAAACTCCTACTAATTTCTTCTAAATTGAATGGTAGTTTCATGGAGAGTTTTCATTTAATATATGTGATCAGATTCTGTTAAGTAGAACCAGATTGTGAGGTTAAACATTTCCATATGTTACAAAGGCCCAGAACTTTTCCTGAAAGGAGACACCATTCTGAACTCACAGACATTACCTGCTGCTTCTTGCTGCAACTCCACCCAGTTTTTACCCTTGCTGAGTCCTATGTGTCACATGTAAGCACATGCAGGAGACATTGTTCCCTCACCTTCCTGTTGCCTAGTAGAACCCCTACCTCTGCCATATTCAGAGACCCTCCCCCAGTTAACCACATTTTTTTTCCCAGTGATTGACACTTGCCTTCCTCCTCTGATTATGAAATAAAGAAATAGGTAAACACAGGGAAGGAAGGCAGAGTTGACAAAATTCTGGAAATCTCATTCTTGGGCTAGATCCACTCTAAGCCTAAGGGGATCTATAAATACTTCATAACTCACCCCTTGTTGATATGACATTTTGGTGACTATAACCATCCCCTCTTCATTTTATGCTCCAGAAGCTTGTGAGACCTCAATGAGTCATGAAGAATCTTAAATTCAAATCCAAAGAATCCAAAGTGATGATAACAAAAAACAATAATTGATATCTGAACAAAGGTTAGTATTTGACAATGGATAAAGATTGGTATACCTTCCCTTCCTCTGGGCTTTGCTGACATGAATTGTGAACGTCGTCTTCTCTTACTAATTTTCCAGGCCAAGAAGTCAGTCCTTTGAATTGGCCCCAGACCAAGTCGCCAACGTTGAACGTCCTTGGTCTATAATGTATCAACTCATTTGAAGAGGGGGAGTCTGGATTCCTTAGGTCATCTTCACTACTGATGCTTTTAGCGTCTGAAGGGCTAGGCACACACCCATTAATGCTTTTGGCATTAAAGTCTCCATTGTAATGGATGTAGTCTTTGACTAGAGAACTTTCTAAACTATTTGAGGAACTCGGAGACTGCTCCTCTAGGACTAGGTCTTGCTTTGCAGTGCTTAGCAGCTCTCCAAATCCCCGACTCTGTCGAGGTCTGTTCCCATTAATGTGCGCACATCTTTCCACAGTGTTCTCTAGTCTCTCCTTAAAACTCATCATAGTTCTTTTATAGTTATTATACCTGAAATTTTCCTCCAAAACTTTATCCCCTTGACAGTTTCTTGGTGGTAACAGTATTGGGTGCTGCTCCCCAGGCAAAAATGGCAGTGTAGAGACATTGTTGGGCCTTTCATGACAAGGACTACTATGGATATGGCCTGGATGATCTAAAAATTCCTCATATTTCCACCTGTTTCTCTCTCCTCTGGGGCTTTGCTCCCCATCCCACTGTTTTTTGGATGTGTGACAACTAGCTGACTTGAAATACTCAAACCCATCTCCTTCATTTGAGTTTTTGCCATGGTCTAGATTCTTGGGCAGCCGAGCCCCTCTTGCATTCCTCAGCCTGCCATCATGATCAACACCTCCCATGTTCCGCCCATGAATGACCGCACTGACAGCACTGGACAGGTTTAGTGGGTCACCAATTGAGGCAGTGAAGGCACTCATGGCACTCAGAGCTGGAATAGGGCTGATCTGAGTGGTACTGTTGACGGCAGTGGTGATGACAACTTGCATTCCTTTGCTGGCTGCATCAACGACTGCTTTGTAAATGGCATCTACAGAAGCATCACCTTGGCCACCCATGACGAGTCCATCCTTCACCTGCTGACCAAGAGCTGGGTCGATCCTTGGTTGCAGCTCACAAGGTGTATCTGGGAAAGGTGGAAGTGTAGTGTTTGGATTCTCAGGAAGTGCCGTAAGCCCCGGCTGAGTGCTTATTCTTTTGTTTAGGAGAGCTGCATCTTCTTGCATTCTTACCTTAAAGAAATGGACAGGAAGCAGTGAGAGGTGGAGAGAGAGAGAGAGAGAGAGAGAGAGAGAGAGAGAGAGAGAGAGAGAGAAAGGGAGAGAGAGAGAGGGAAAAATTTAAAGGCCTTGAGGAGAAAGGCCATAATTTTAAGCTTATCAAAAGATGAGCAGATCTTGGGCTGGGGTTGTAGCTCAGATGGTATAGTGCCTGCCTAGCATGTGTGAGGCACTGGGTTCTATCCTCAGCATCACATGAAAAAGAAGTAAATAAACATGTTGTGTCCATCTACAACTAAAAAATAAATAAAAAAATAAAAAATAAAAAAGATAAGCAGACCTAACAAGAAAGGAAATATAATAAACAAGACTCAAAATTAAAAGAAAAAGTCACCCCACATAGAAAAGCTTACATCTTGTTCATGTTTGAGTACTGTTTCTTTGGTTAAAAATCACTTAACACATTTTCTTTCTTTTTTAATGTTCTCTAGAAAAATTAAGCCTGAGGTGGTTGACACTAGATGTTTTCAGATGATGACCCACTTACTTTGTGAGGTTAAAGGTCTTTGCAGCTTGGGTAACAAGTCACAGGTAACCAAACCAAAAGAACCAGATTTTGAAAATTTTAGCCCACTGATTTTTAACTCACTGATGATTCTATTTAACTAAGTGAAATGCAATCTATAATAAAATAAAGAAAATGAATAGACTCCTTCCTTAATGATAAAATATTTTGATGATATGACACTATATTTTGAAGATTTCAGATGGGCTAATAATGCTAACTCCTCAACCTCATCAAGCTGTTGGCTAAGAGATATCCCCACGCTGTCAATGTGACCATGGCTTACTGCAGAAATGATTCTGAACTGGGGAGAGTGAAGGGAGAGAATGCTTATAGAGGAGTACATTAGAATTGTAGAACAGGAAGGACGAGTACAGTTTGACAAAGTCCTCAAGGTTATTTTAATCTCATTAACATCTATCTGAAAATTGCTCCTCCAGACCCTTGATACTTTGGATCTCCCCTACCCTGAAATGATCACTCCCTTTCTGCTTCTATGCCCTTCCTAACTAAAATACAACCTTGGATACAACAACACATCAACTACTCTCTTGCTATTATCCTCTTGTCTATACTTACCAGATAAAAATCTCAATCTTGGATCATTTCAACTGCCTCTTTTACTTATATCTACACTGAGGGTGCTGGATACCTTGTGGATAGGAATTTATGGCTTTCAACCTCCACTATGGGCCATTGCTGCCCTTCAATCCTGTGATCTTCTCATTAGATATCATTCTTACTCTCCACAACTATTCAAATCTTCCTCTACTTCTTCAGGCTGGTGGCTATGCCATCTCCTGCATTATTCTTAGTGAATGACCTTACTTAGAGCATGCAGCCTACCAGATAAGAGTTCTCATATTCTCTTATACCTCTGATATTCCCTGCTCTGTGACAGCACACATTTCTCAGCAACTATACCTGTCCTCTGTCTTGTCCTACTTCCCAGGATAAGAGGGGCTCCTTCTGTGCTCTGTGGGTAAGCTCTCCATTAAGGCTTTGGATGCCAAGCCCTCTCCCTCAGGTATCTTGCCTCATTTGTTATTCCTTCTCTTCATGCTCAGTCTCTCACTTTTGTGGCTCTCTCCTTTGGCATATAATCATGTGCATGGCTTCCATATTTTAAAATTGTGTTCTATTTGAAGTTTCCCCATGGAGTATTCCCTATTTCTCTTATGTTCTGCATAGTTAAGGTTTTGAAAATGTAATCTACACTCTTTTTTTTTTTTTGGTACTAGGGATTGAACTCAGGGGCACTCAACCACTGAGCAACATCACCAACCCTATTTTGTGTTTTATTTAAACAGGGTCTCACTGAATTGCTTAGCACTTCACCCTTGCTTAGCACTTCACCCTTGTTTTGAACCTGTGATCCTCCTGCCTCAGCCGCCCAAGAACCTGGGATTACAGGTGTAAGCCACTGGGCCTGGCATAATACACACCTAATATTCCATTCACCATTCCATCTATGGCAATCTGGTTCCTGCTCCCATTACTCTACCAAAACTACATTCTACCAACTCACTGGTTAAGTACTAATAGCTAAGTCTAGTGAATTCTCTTCAGGCTTTATCTTGCTTGCTTTTTTTGGTGACATGGTTGAACACTTCTTCCTCCTTTCTGAATTATTTTATTATACAAGATACATGTGAATGTTTTATTATTGTCAAAAGAGATAAAAGCTTTCTACATCACTGTTCTGCACCCCAAATACCTACTCCACTCCTATTCCATTCCTTTTTCAGAAGTAACCAGTGCTGGAGCACTCCTTGCAGACACTTTATTTACTTTTTGGGGGGTGGGAATTGAACCTAGGACTTCATGCATGCTAAGCAAGTACTCTATCACTGAGTCACATCCCCAGCCCTTGCAGACTTTTTAATATGTTAAATTGTGTAGGTGAATTATAAAGGAAACCTAGTTTCTTTCCCCCTTCCTTCCTTCCTTTTCCTTTTTTTCAAAATGAATGTAATTTTACTGTAGTACTGTTTTGGCAATAGAGCAGTATTGAAGTCTTTAGTCTTACAGATTTTTTCCATATTGGATTGTTTAAGTCTAGTTAATCTTTTAAGTTACTAGGTAGATGGATACACTATAACACATTTAACTATTTTCCTGCTGATGGATACTTAATTCATGTAATCAAAATTCTGGTATGCACCATTTTGTTCACATTTGAAGATTTCTCTTAAATGGAAACATAAAAGTTGAACTTCTGGGCACAGAGATGTGTGTATTTAAAAACTTTATATACTGCCAAATTACCCTCCTGCTTTCAAACAGACTAACAAAAGAGTGAGAAATCAATTCCGTCATACTCTTGTCAGAAATAGATACATCATTTTGATGGACACAGCATTTTAATTTGTATAACTTTGATTATTATTTTTGTATTTTATTAATCAATTATATTTCACTTTCTATGAATTATCTATATGTATTGTTCATTTTTCTAATCAATTATCCTTTTTGTTCTTGATTCATAGGAGTTCTTTCTATATTACAGGTGTCAATGATTTGGTATATATTATATAAATATCTTTCTACCAGTTGGTTGTCTAATTTTGTTCAGAATATCCTTGATATTGTACAGAGATTTAAAAGTTTTATATAGTCAGCTCTGTTACTTCTTTTTCTTTTGACTTTTTGGTTTTTTGTTTTGCTTACAGAAACTTCTCTGTCTCTTTCTCTTTCTCTCTCTCATACACACACACACAAATGTGTGTGTGTGTGTGTGTGTGTGTGTGTGTGTATATATATATATATATATATATATATTTAAAATCTTATATATTTTCTTCTTATATTTATTTAGTGGTACTTCTTCCATCAGACCCCTTAATCTATCAGGGATTAATTTACTTCATAGAAATAAAAGACTATATGGCAGAAGCCCAGGATCAGGGCTGAAAGCTGAGCCTGGAGAAGTGAGGTCAGTGGGTATATTAATAAGGATGAGGGTCCTAATCAAGAGTGCAATGAGAAAGACAAAAGCGTTTAAGAGAGTGACATTCGGAGTTTCAAAAAAGACTACTACATAAAACAAAATTACCTTTGAACAAAGGACTGGCCTATTGAATAATACTCAATATTGAGAAATAACAGTAAATAGATATAAAAAGGTATAAAATCTACTTTTTTCACTCTTTCCCCCAAAGTAAATATTTAAACAAACCCAGACATTGGTTTCTACAAAAGTGGAAGGTGAGTACCTGGAAGTTCTGAAACAGACAAGCCATGGGGTTATTGTTAGCCGGGCAAGGAACAGTGGACTGTCCTTGGAAGGCCTGGAGATTCTGGTACCCATGGAGGAGTTGCTGTTGTTGCTGATTTGGAGGAAACATCTGATTGTTGTTTAACATCGACTGTAGATGAGTCAGTTGATGGTTATTCAAAGTATTGTTTATTGATGACATATCACCTACAGTTTGAAAAACATAAATACAAGTCAATGTGATCCTTCAGAGATCCTATGCCTGTCTTTGTACCTGAGAATTCCTAAAACAAAACTAGAAGCTGAACTTAATGGGTAGTTCATTTATTCATTTCATTTCTTTTTTTTTTTCTTCTCAAAGTCTTACTAAGTGGTAAAGAAAGGGTAGCTTTATTATTTAGTTTTATCTTGCATAATTAGTTTTTGGATTTTATATCATGCAAAGATTACTTACTTAGAAGTTGCTCTATTCATTAACTAATCCTTATATATTGAGTGTCAATGTTATGTGATTTCTTGGCTCTCTTTTTATGAGAATGTCTACAATTAAAGGTAGAAATTAGTCCTAAAATATTTTAGTAATCATACATACTTGATCAGATAACTTAAATGAGTGGGTCTGATCAGGCCTTGTTTATAAACTTTCATTGTTAAGCCACAATCATAAATAAAGACCACCAAATAAAATTAGAGATTTAGTTTAGATAAATGCATTTTGTTTTGGAGTATAAGGTAGGTCACCTAAAATTAAAATTGTAAGGAAAACTAACAAAACAAAATAATCCATTATCATAATCTTTAAGATAACTATCATATAATTAATTAGCATTATTTAATAACTAAATTTATATTCAAAATTGTTTTGAAAGTACTGAAATTATTTTGAGGACAATTTCATAGAAATTCCCCTATAACTTGAAATATGTAGATTTGTGATCCTACTTAGATTTTTTAATTACAATGATTTATGCCAGATAAAACTAATTATTATTATTAAAGATGTCCGTAATATCTAGAAACATAAACTTATTTTTTTTTACACACTGAACATGGCCTTGACCACATCATGTGTATTTGCATATGCTTCTGGACTTTATGGACACCATCCCTATGTTTTACATTATAGTTACCTGCATTCAAGAGTTAAATACGCTTAACATCATTTTCTAACTCTTTGAGAGAGGACAATGCATAAGAAAGACTTTGTTTTTAAGCCACAAACATCTAAAAAGAATAATTCTGAGGAAATCTAGCAACAGCTAGAGGGATTGTTCCTTGAACTTGGACAGACTTTAGCTTTCAGTGTTTTTATGCCTTGTTTATGTTTTGCTGGACAAGTGTTTAGATTTGTTTATTTAGGGTTCACCTGGAAAACACTTCCTCAAGCTGTTTCCAGCCACTGTGCAGCTGCTCATACTAACCCTGTGATGCCACACCAACTAAAATTGAAATAAAAATTATTTTTAAGATGTACCTGTGCTTTATTATTTGAAAAATAAGATGCTACTTGGCTTAAGAGAATGATGGGTAGGTTAGGTTTAGGTGGCATCAGAATTAGAAGAGAAAGCAGACTAAAATAATATTTAGTATTGCTAGAACAAGGGAAAAGGAAAAAGTCATTCTCATGTTTGTATAACTATGGTCATGTGGGGTATTGTTATATTTAGTTCCTTAAGCTGTGACATAACAAAAACATTTTAAAAAATAGTGTGACAAAATGGAGTTTTTAAAAAGGAGAAAATAGAATTAGAAAAACGTTTCTTTTTAAAAAATTTGTGAAAAAATTTAACTTACCAAGCAGACCTGTCCCCAGTAGAGGGTTAAGTAGCTGTGGCACCACAGAGTTACTGTTGAGTTTAGCTGGACCAGGTGTATTCCCAGCATTATTAGATATATTCAGCAATGTTTCGGCCATTGACACCACTGCTGTCCCACCAAGTGTTGAGACAGTCAGTGCTGCCACTGCTGATGATGTAGTGGTTGTGGTAGTGGTTGCCTGGGAGGAGGTTGCTATGGAAACCTCTGGATGATTAGCGGTGTTGGCCGATGCCGAGTTCAGAACACCTCCCAACAGCTGGGGATTCAAGGCCATTAATCCTGAGGCCCCAGTGACAGCTGGGAGGAACAGGGGGTTAAAAGTAGTGTCACTGCCTGCAAAGCTTGGTAAAGGGTTCCCCAAGGGGCTGGTTAAAAGGGTCTCAGCTCGGCTGTTGTCTGACTGATTGCTTGGCAAATGGTCTGGTGGGGCTGTCATCTGTGTTAATGAGGGTAAAGGGGTATTTTGCTGTTGCAAAAGATCTGAGATGGTCAGATTGAGAGATGGCAGGGGAAGCATGGCAGCTGCTTGGGCTTGGTTCTGAAGCAGAGCAGCTAAGAGCTGAAAGTGAACAGGCTGTAATACCTGCCCATCCATGTCACCGGAGAGAAAAGCTAAAGCAGCGTTTACATTCGGGTTGAGAAAACCTAAAGGGTGGAGGTTGATCTCAGACTTGCCTTCTCCTGCTGAAGGCTGGAGGATATTTAATAGATTCTGGTTTAGGAGATGCTGTTGATTCACTGGCAAAGAGATAGGTAGAGAACTGAGGAGGCTGGGGTTCAAGGGGTGTGGAAGATGGTTGTTTGAAGTGCTGTTGGGTGGAAAATGAAGTGCGTGCTCCTGGCCAACAAAAGGAAAATCACTCCCAATGGGCAGCTGACTCTGCAGTGGGTTTCCAGCTGCGGTGGTGACGATGACGCCATCTTGAAGAACAGACGTTGTCTTTGTGATGGCGGGGTGATTGGTACCAGCTATGGCTATGGAGGATGATGGGCCTGAACTGCCTAAAATGCAAAAGAAAGAAAGAAACCCTGTTAGTAATTATGGATATTAAGATACATTTCAATTTATTTGTTACATGGCATCTTCATTGGTTGTAACTAGATTAACTGTATCAGAGATGATTTTATATCTCTTACTGGGACTTAACCTACTTGGAAAAATAAACATGTTAAAAAAGTGTGGCATTTTAAAAAATAACTTGTTGAATATCAAATAGCTTGTTTTTCACAATTAGGGTGAAGATGGGAGAGTCTTTTGTAGTTTATTCAACTGGGGAAATAAAAGTGCAAAGCTTCACTTTTGAAGATATATACTTTTCATTTTTTAAAATTTCCATTTTTATTTGTAAAACTAGTACTTAGTTTTAATGAAAAAACCCCAAACCCTCCACAAACCTAGACTGTATGAAAAAGTATAAAGCAGAATATAAAAACACTTATGGAAACAATGACTATTGATATTTTAGTTATATAGCTTTCAGGATTTTCTCTGCCTCTGTGTGTGTGTGTGTGTGCGCGCGTGCGCGTGTGTGCATGTGTGTATATATATATTTAAATAAATTAGTATCATGCTATAATGCTATAACTTTTTCATTTATCCACATACTGTGACCATCTTCCCATGTTAACTCACATAGAGCTACAGAATCATTTTACTAGTGCCATTTATTGATCTATACACAATTTAATCAACCCACTCATGAATGTTTTGATTGCTTCCATTTTTTTACTATTATAGGCAAAATTATGATAAACATTTTTATTAATATATCTTTGCCATTTTGTCCTATTATTTTCTAACGATAGATTCTTAAATGTGGAATAGCAAGGACAGAAAGATTTCCATATTTTAAAAGCTTTGAAGACATACTGTTAAGCCCTTCAGTGAAATTGATCAATACACTCAGTTTACATTTCTACAAACAGTGTAGGATAGTGCTCATCTCTCACCAATATTCTATTTTATATTATTTTTAACAATGAATAAGATGATTACTGATCTTGCCATTCTGATAGTATAAAGATACTTTGTTTTTAAAATTCCTTAAATTAGATCAGTCTAATTAGCATCCAAATAGCATTCTTATTCTTGAAAGTCTTATTCTAAAGATGAAAATTCAGACAATTTCTTAAGATTGTATTAGTGATTTTCAACCCAAGCTACAATAGAATTATAGACAGAGAATTAAAAAAAAAACAACACACCTAAACAATCCAATACCTGTGCTTAAACCCAAATCCACTGAAAAATTCATCTCTTAGGATACAGCCAGGCACCAGTGTTCTTTGAAATCACCCCAAGTGATCAAATGCTCAAGGGTTGGTGGAGTTGGGAAAGAAAAGCCCACATTCTACTGAAAAGGAACCTACAATCATTTTTTGGTAAAAAGTCTCCCCTAAAAAGATGCATTATTAACTGTAATCATATGTTTAACAAATATTTTGTTATTATAAGCATATGCTTTTAATTTTATTTTACAGTAATAAACACGTATATGGTATAATGAACAATACCAGTGTCACTGAAAAACTAAAATAACTGGAACATTTTACTTTTATATTTGACCATATTACCATCGAAGCCAGATCCAAATACACAGAAGTGTTTCCTTAGTTGTAATATTAGTATCCATATAATTTTATATTCTTCATTTTTTTACCCTCTAGAATAACACAATTTTTCTACTTTTTGATGTATTAATTTTGTAATTATACTGTTCACTGTGTAGTAAATGAACTGACTATATTTATTAAGACATTCTGATAAAGCTTGGCATTTATATTTCAACTTTGCATCATTATATTTAACATGGGGATGAACATCTATGTACATATTCTTTGCTACCACTGGATTTTTTTCCTTAGAAAATATTCTATCATTGGCATTATTGTTGTGAGAATAAAAAATAAGTGAAAAGTCTGTAAGGTGTAAAAATCTATATAAATATAAGGAGTTATTCTTCTAATTATTGCTGACAGTGGTAGTCATTAGCAGTGATGACCTTAGTAGTGGTGCTGTGTTTAACAGAAGTAAAAATCAGTATATCTGAGTCACTTCACAGAGTATCTCCATAACAAGGATTTGTAATTTTCCTCATTTGTCATAATCTACTTTTTCTTTTTTTAAGCTCTCAGTGTTTTATTTGAAGAATGAGGTAAAAAAAAACCTCCTTGAAAAAGTATAAATATTTATGAAATATTATCATGAAATAATGACTATGTTCACAAAGATTAGGGTAAGAGGACATCCCAAATGCTGAAGTTGGCATATGATATACAATTCTTTAAATATTAATTCATATTTTTTACAAAACAATCAACATCTTAAATATTTCATTGCTTTTTCAATCTTACTGTTATTTCCATGTACAAGTACTGTGCATTATTTGCATTTGGAAACCATCTTTTTAAATGAGCTAGTAAAGTCTTATTTACTAGTAATCACTATCAGTGACAATTTTTCCTACCTGCTAAATAATGGCATACTTAAATGCAGAGATCACCATTCCTCTCACCATAGGCAGAGTTCATTTTCAAAATACTGTAGCATACACATTGCAAGGCTTTGTAGATGAAAGTTTTCCTTAGAGGTTACTATTCTCTATTATCCTTAATTTGCAACAGAGAAGTATCCATATTTATGATTCAAGGAAGGAGTCATTTGGGGATAACATATTTTAAAATCTCTCCATCCGAATATTCTTGAGGAATTACAACTAAAAAGTATAGTATATTTTTGTCTTATCAACAAGATGGTAGTGGATAACAAGTATATTAAAGGTAATACATGAATCAAGATGTATTTTTTATTTTAATTTTCAACAAATCAATTCAACAAATAGTTACACTCTGCTGTACAATAGGATAGAATGGTGATACGAACTTTTAAAAACTTGCCATTTCCTCCAGGAACTCAGTTTAGGCAAAGCAATATAGAAAATTTCCTTTTTCCTTCCTAATATATATTGAACATTTTATTATAAATTAGGAAATTTGAAAGTGCTTTCCACATATTAGCTAGTGTAACTACAATGCAATATGCTAAGAGCTATAACAGGTGTATAGAACAAGGGGACATTATAAACTAAAGATGTCTCAAAACTACATAAGTGATAATATTTGATCAGGGACTTAAGAAATGAAAAGGAGATTAAAAAGGGGTTCTTAGTAGAAGCAGAATAACTTTAAAAAATATAGATAATATGGATGGAAGGTAATGAAGAGTCAGTCTTGTGTTTCCCCAAAACAAAGAAATGACTGAGAAGGTGTGTGGCCTTCCCAAATCCCAGCTCCCTCTGCTCACAGTTAAACTTGTTGCTTTGTGACAACAGTGAAGAAATCTGAGGCCATTTTCTAAACCATTCAAGGGAAGAATCATTTCTTATTTTCCTTTTTAATTTCAAGCCTCCACACAATCTCTGACACATGGCTGACATTCAAAAAAATACTTGTTGGTTGAATATCTAGTAAGGTCATAAAACCTGCACTCAATTTCTGGAAATTAGATAATTTGATGCTCTGTGTGTAGGTATGTGGAGAAGGTGAAAACTGACTTTATAGTGTGTTGGTCCAATTTCAGGAGATAAGGCACAATGGGAAGGTCATGGGTGGAAGATGACAAATTAGTTCAGAAGGCTCTCAGGTAGTCTGAGTTAAAAATTCCCTTACAGTGGGAGAAGTTGACCCCAATATACTCTGAATTCTTAGTTATTCATTATTGCTCAAGGTCATTCAAAAAGGAACAAGAATTTGGATGAATTTTTATAGCTGGAGGGGAAGTTGGAGATTGTTTACTCTTGAACCACTTAATCTTAAATAGGCACTATCTGGTGAACCTATTTCATAGTTCTGCATAAAAACCTTATGGTATGTTGAAGCATATGGGGAAAGTGTTGTGTTAAGACAGTTTTTTTTTTTTCCCCATCCAGCCAACATGTTTTGTGCTTAATCTAATGAAAGAAATAGTGGCTAAGAATTTTCTAAAAAGTAAATTATCCATTAAATGTTTAGCAGTTAATAATCAAAAGGTGGCTGGGATTCTGGAACAACTTAGTCCTTTAATTAGAAATAATGATTATTTCACACCAGTCACCATAAACTGGCACTTTCATTTTCTAAATACTCTAGCATATACATGGCAAGGCTTTGTAGATGAGTTTTCCTTAGAAGTTACTATTCTTTATTATCCTTAATTTGCAACAGAGAAGTATCCATAATTATGATTCAAGGAAGGAGTCTGTTGCTTTTAAATAGTAGGAGAGAAGAATGAAAAGTCACCCAAATAAACTTAGTTGTTATTGGGGTCACATGCCTAGACCCCCAGTGATTGAGGTGTCTAGTCTGATGAGGAAGCAGTGGTACTTTGCCCAGTGGGGGTAGATTTCTGAATATGAACAATAATCTACACAGATTTACAGTTTTTATACATATATGTATATTTGTCTATGTGTGTCTTTACAGAAATAGCATCAGAAGCTTTTAAAGGAATTTTCCTAATATTAATTCTTAAGATGTTTTATTTGCTTTGGTTTTAGACTTGCTCTTCAAAACTAAGGCAACGTGTGCCTCTTTAAATTTATTTCTTCTTCCTGCATTAACATTCTTTGAGAAAGTCATTATTTATACTGTGCTAAACTGTTATACGGCTTACTCTTAAATACTGTTACACATGACTTTGTATGTGTGCAAAAAAAGGGCATGAAGTTCATACCAAGCAGATCAATATAGTATATAAGAAATGTTATTATACTAGCTTGATCTATATATCTTCAACTTTGAATACATATTGGTTTATGCCCAAATGCTGATTTTTATTTTTACCCATAACCCAAAATGTAAGAACTGAGTCATATACAAAGTATTCTTCACACTTGACCTTTATCATTTGCTCTAGTAAGTGTACTTTACACTTACCAATGGTCAATTGTAGTCATTAATAGAAATAAGTGCTTCTAATGGGTATATCTCTGTATTAGAGCACTTGTCTGGCACACTACACCCTG